GCCAACGTGATACCCATCTTCAAGAAAGGGCAGAAAGTAGATCCCAGGAATTACAAGCCAAACAGCTTGACCTCAATCCCTGGTAAGATTCTTGAGGAAAATTATCAAGGAGACCCTTCTGGATAAGCTGGCTGAGAGCAACATCCTGAGGGATAGCCAGCGCGGGTTTCTCGTGGGCAGGTCTTGCCTGACCAATCTCATCTCCTTCTATGACCAGGTGATGTATCACCTAGAAAGGAAGAAGAGATTGATGTCATATATCTGGACTTTAAAAAAAAGCCTTTGATCTGGCATCCCATGACCTCCTCATAGATAAACTGGCCAACTGTGGCTTCGGCTACACCACAGTCCGATGGCTGGGAAATTTGCTCCGAGGTCAGACCCAGAGAGTAGTAGTCAAGGGCAGTGAATCATTATGGCGCTCTGTGACCAGTGGCGTCCCCCAAGGCCCTGTCCTTGGACCGTTAACATCTGTCTTTAACATCTTTGTCAATGATGTGGACATTGGTGTCAGAAGCGCACTGGATAAATTCGCCGATGACGCTAAACTTTGGGGCATAGTGTCCACACCTGAGGACAGGCTAGTGATCCAGGCTGACTTGGATAAACTTAGTAAGTGGGCGAACACATACCTGATGATGTTCAATACGGATAAATGTAAGGTACTCCACCTCGGGGGAAAAAACCTGCGGCATACTTATAGGCTCGCCAGTGCTAGCACCACTGCTGAAAAAAACTTGGGGGTCATGATTGACCACAAGATGAATATGAGCCACCAATGCGGTGTCGCAGCTGGTAAATCAAACAAAACCCTGGCTTGCATCTATAGATGCTTCTCAAGTAAATCTCAGGATGTCATCCTCCCGCTGTACTCGGCCTTGGTGAGGCCGCATCCAATTCTGGGCTCTGCAATTCAAGAAGGATGTTGAGAAGCTTGAGAGAGTCCAGAGGAGAGCCACATGCATGATCAAAGGGCAAGAGAATAAGCCTTATGAAGAGAGGCTGAGAGCCATGGGACTCTTCAGTCTGGAAAAGCGCAGGCTCAGGCTGCTTATAAGTACATAAGGGATGTACATCAGGATCTGGGAGAATGTCTGTTCACCAGAGTGCCCCAAAGAAAATTAAGGACCAACGATCATAAACTTCTACAAGACCGTTTTAAGCTAGACATAAGAAAAAAATTTCTTTATGGTCCGAGCCCCCAAGACCTGGAATAGACTCTCTCCAGAAGTGGTGCAGGCACCTACTCTGGACTCATTCAAGAAATGCTTAGATGCTTGTCTTGCTGGGATCCTTTGTCCCTAACTGACTTCCTGCTCCTGGGGCAGGGGGCTGGACTTTATGATCTTCGAGGTCCCTTCCAGCCCTAACGTCTATGAAATCTAAATGACCTAAAGAAAACTTAAGAATGCTAATGTGGTAAATCCTGGGTAATAAGAGTATAATGCCCTGATTAATGCACAAAGATCTCCACCTGAAATAATACACTCTTTGAGCATGTAGAGGAGCAGATTCTCTCTCTGTTTCTTAGAACAAAACTGAAATGAGAAAAATAGTAGAGATAAACCCCTCTCCAAATATCCCTAAGAAATAAGAAGCATTAACACACACAGGAACCTTAACGAACACAAAAACTAGATAACTGGATGAATCATCCCAATACCCCCAACTAGAGAATAGAGGGTACATCTACACATGTGCTTTACTAAGGAGTTGACTAATTAGCACTGCAGTAAAGTGTCACCATCTACATGTGCACTGGTATTAGGGCGCACTAAATTAATCAACTCTGCCATAAGACAGTACTGTCAGGGGCAGTACTATCTTATGGTAGAATCATTTACTGTGCAGAAATGCACATGTGGACTGTGACTGGGACTGCTGCAGTTTGAGTTGGGGAGCAGCAGCAGGCTCTGGGGGTCAGCCACAGACTCTGCAGTTTCAGTGCTCTTGTGTCCCAGCCAGCCCCTCCCACCAAGCTTGCTGCCAGCCCAGGGCTGCTCCACCTGGGCTCAAACTGCTGCAGTCCCAGGTGCATGTGCAGATACTGCACATGGGAGCAGCTGATTCTGGTGCAAACTGCACTGGTGTTTATCATGTTGCCTTAATGGCATGTATAGATGCACCCACAGAGAAGGAAAACTAAGGAGCTGCAATACAGAAAACCATCAACTTAAGTGTTCTGCAAGTAAGTGAACAGTTGGAACTGAGTGCAGATCAATCTAGACCAGTGGCTCTCAACCTTTTTTTGCCGCGACCCACTGCTGGGACCAGGCGCGGTTCATCCTTTGTGTGCAGCGCCGCTGGCATTGCCCCCCACAACCCTCATTTGGGACATGACCTGAGGTTAGGAACCACTCATCTAAAGCAGTGGTGCTCAACCTGTTGGCCCCTTAGGCCGGATGAGTAGTGCAGGGCTCGATCGTGGGCTACACTGGACCTTGCATGCCAGGACCCCATCCATACTCCTGGATCAAGTCCTGGTGACCTTGTTTGGCCCCTGTGCAACGAAATCGGGCCCCACACACCGGGATCAGGCTCTGGGGCGTCACGCCACCTCTGTCCAGCCCTGCAAGCCAGGGCCACCCTGTGCACTCGGTTTAGGACACAGGGCCATGGGCCACAGGCCTCCCCACAGACTTATGGGGTTGAGCACCCCTGGCGAAGAGGCCTACACAGATGGGTGCTGCCTTCCGAAGGCTGAACGGCAAAGAGGGTGGGTGTCTGCCTGCGCACCTACCCCGGGCGCGGGGGGGAGCCCGCTCTACCCAACGGGTGGGCGTGGCCTTGCTGTTGCGAGGCAACCCCGCGGCCTGCCTAGGCCTGTCCTGCTCCTGCTCCTGCTCCTGCTCCTGC